CGATTCGACATATAGAAATACTTTCCTAGAGATAGAACTTCTTCCTCGAGGACAGAAACGTAACGAGCGGGTAAAGGACGTCGACGTGCTTCCGATACGGGATCGCCGAGCTGTTCTTGCATCGTAGATGAATTTGTCAATAAGTCGGAATCGTAAATCACCGACGATCTGCTCGACGCGATATATTAATTAAATGCTCGGTGACAGAAATTACCCATGGCTCGCATCCATCGTGGACCTGACTGGCCTATGCGGCCACATAAATAACGTTTTGCAACTAATACAGTCTACCCTATCGAAGTACATCGAGAGCACACGCAGCTCTATCGATCGACGCGTTTTGCTTCTTCTTTTCGCGGAGACACGGCAGACATCTGGTATGTCGGTGGTACATATACACTCGGAGCTCGTTTCGTTTCGCGTGTCCGGGCACAAGCTCGCAGGTTTACCTAAGTGGATACATGGGCGTACAAGTTTCGCGTCGAACGCGCATGCAAATCGGATCGCAACTCATCCAGGGACGTAACAATGATAATTGCCCCGTGTTCCTTGGCCAACGATCGAACGGGTATTTATCGGTCCCTATTTAATCTACACGGTATCTCGCAGCATTTCGAAAAAAATTCGATAACAACCTACCACCTAGCCTTTATCGATACTCACGTGCTTTTGCTTCGCTATCATTCCCGACGTGTACGACGTGTGTGTGTGCACAAGATTTCGAAGTCGAGCTATCGGTGTCATTGGTCTTGGAACGCGACGGAATTGGATCACAGGGTCAAGATCGATGCATTGACAAAACTACGCCCCTGCAGCTAGCTGTTCATTCGGTCACACTGACAGATATCTACACACGTAAAAACATGCCGTACGATACGAGTTTCTGGTGCACAGACGCATCATGCTCTCCGGCGTCCCCGTTTTACAAACTCGGTCCGCTCGGTACTCGTCTATCCTTCGAACGACTAGTTGATTCCTCTGCGAATTTTACTAGCGAATTTTCACCTACTATCCCAGTTTCCAGTTCTCGGAGAGGGGGGAATGAAGTAATCGTTCTTCCGCAGCGTACCGCGCTAGAGTAAGATAACAACAGAAGGTATAAAGCTACGCGGGATTATCCAGTTAAATAAAATTACACGTAATACGGTCGTTTTCTTTGTCACAGTCTTATTGCTCGCTAAGCTCCCCCGTTCATCCTCCCCGTTTACGCTTAACCAAGGAAGGAAAACAACGAGTTTGATCGAACACAAAACGGCCGCGACCATGAACGTTTGAACCTGCCTGAAATAATGGCTCGTTGTCGTACTATCGAACTGACTATTCGCGGCATCGACAGCATGAATACTTGTAGTACTTGATCCGACATAAACCGCTCTTCACGACCAGTGCGCAATTTGGATACTTGTCGACGCACTCTGGCGACGCCTCGTAAGCTTCTGAAATCGTTAAGAACCGATCAATTCGTTAATGCTGCAACATTGTCAGAATGAGATACAAGGAATCCGACTCACTTTTCGGTGATTTGCTCGACGACGAAGGTTCCGTTTTACAAGGGTCCAGATCGCATTGCTGTTGGTCGCTAGGTCTCGCAACGTCTTCGCAATTCGAGTTGCCGACACCCTCGAGGATACATCGAACCAGCCTGGTTTGCACGCCGGTGCCGCACGTCACCGAACACTGAAAAAGATCGGCCGTCGGTATTTACATCGATATTTATACCGGCATTTGTATCGCGGAGTCGAGTAAGCCACTGGTGATCGGGCGGATCGTAAATCTACGCGCGCCGCGATTTACCTTCGACCAGCTCGAGGTGAACCATGTCGGTGTGCACGCGCTCGCTCTGCATACTTGTTCGTTTACTGGCCTCGAGCCGCTGCAATTGCTCGCCGGCAACACGACGAAATCGTTGTTCGTCCTTGCGACGCAAAGGACTTCTCGATACTGAACACCCATTCCGCAAGACACCGAACACTGAAACCATATTTGTCGGTGCATGTTCAATCGGAACGATAGCGACCGATCGGTGGCGTTCCCTCGTCGTCGGAAAAGATCCGACCGACAGCGAGATATGTGTGTGTGTGTGTATATATATATACTCTGTGTTTGGTTATCTATTACTAACGAATGTCCATGGACCGGTAAACCATTTCGCGCTATCGCAGTTCGGTCCTCTTCCGAAACACTGCCTCTCCGTTTCCGGCCTCTCTTTGGGATTGCAGAACAGCTCGCTGCCATCGGCGCAAGCCACTCGCCTCGTCTCCACTCCGCTA